ACAACTAATTTGCAGCAATTGCGAAAAATTACTTGGTGCACATTTCACTGAGATAAAATAAAGGCAAACCAAACAAATAAAACAAATGAAGGGATCTTAAAGCTAGGTTAAAAAATAAATTGGGCAGAACATCGGTGAGCTCCATCCAATAGTGAAGAATAACAACGATTTCGCGTGAGTTGGTTGAGGGCCTCTGATCCCTGGGGGGAAGAGGGGGGGGGGGGCAGAAGGAGCATTTTTTTTTTATATGAGATCTTTCTTAGATGTAAACAAATATTCAAGAAACGATATACTGTTGTTGAATTGCGGGAGGGGAACCAAGCGGAGATAGCAAAATGCTGAAGACGAGGACATAGCGCTTATGGGAATGTCCCGAGTGATGTGATGTCAGTACTTAGAGGAACACTCAACAACAACAACATCAACCCTGGTGGTAACAACTTCAGAAAACCATATCATGTCTGACCGAAACTTAAAGGTCTCAGGCTACCTCAGCACAGACCACAAAGGGAATAACTGTTTTGGGGTCGCCACAACACAAGGAAACTGTATTAAAGGGTTGCGACATGAGGAAGGTTCAGAATCACTACTTTACAAGACGTTGCAGGACCAACCCCAGCATTTGTTGGCTGTTATGGTTTTTCTAGGCAAGCTTTACGCTCGGTAGATTGCAACGGCTTTCTAAACGGTCAGCTCTTGGTGTCACTGTCGAAACCAACGCAATACAAATCGTCCGCAGCTGGGATCGAACCCAGCACCTTGGCATTACAAAGCGTGTTTGCAACGCCTAAGCAAAAGACGCCGATAAACCATTTGACATGTTTAGCTTATTTTTTTTTTTAAATATGAGCATATGGAGGATAGAGGGAGATAATCGTGAATATTACAAGGTTTCATAAAATGATGCAAGTTAACGTTCCTTACACTCCTGTGTGCGTGCTTGTGTGTGTGTGTGCGTGCGCACGCGCGTGCGTGTGTGTGTGTGTGTGTGTGTGTGCAAGGGCGAGCGCGTGGTGGGGGGGGGGGGGGGGCAGCGCAACGGTTGAGTAAGCATTCCAATTTAAGACGATATTATTAAATGTCTGAAATACTGATGGGAAAAGATCTGAGAATATGACAACCAAATGGGAACTTCTCAACATGTCAAATTGTAACCAGCAAAGATCCTGAGAGAGAAAACAAAAATACCAGAAGAAGTTCCCGGTACTCATCTTCTTCGTCCTAGCGTTCATCAACTGTAAGCCCTGGCAAGAAAGTTTATGAATGTTCATCTACTTCTGGACTTCTGTATTGTTCCACAAGTTATTTTTTTTGAGTGCACATCTGTTCTACAGCTCTAGCTTATCTGCAGACTGTTGGTTGCTAGTCTTTCAAGCAGATGTACTCCGACTTTAAAGGAACCAGTCACCTTGTTATGGCAAGGCAATCTATTCTTATTTTCCCACAATATATAGCCCCGGAAGCCACATGATGAACTAGTGGAACATCACTTGTTGCTAAATACATTGAAAAAACCGAAACTATCCATTTGTTGTCTACCCATAAAGTTTAGTACTGGTTCTGTGCTGACTCTCCTCCTGATCTTCTTCTTCTTCAGCATTCCGAGCCACTGAGGTTCACTGCTGCAGATATCACCCACCTCCACTCATCTCTCTGGTTGGCCTTCTATTTCCAGTTGGTTACACCAAGTGTTTGCAGATCTTACTGGACCTCCTTCCTGATATTTTTCCTGAATCGATCTTTCCTCGTTACACCTAGCATAGTACATAAACATGTAATTTCTGTTGTGTCTTTTTTTTTTTTGTCGGGGGCCTCGTTTGCGCAGTCGATAAGAAGCTCGCTTTCAAATCCAGCTGTGACTCGCTGCAGCCCATAGTCGGTGTTTGAAACCAGGCGGTTCCCGGGGTTCACTAAGCCTCTAGGAAATGGGTACCAGAGTTGACACTCTGGGGTAAACGGAGGAACGTCGCTGTAGCTACAGATTTACATGCGGACAGCTCACTGGACCTCCTTCCTGATATTTGCAGATCTCACTGGACCTCCTTCCTGATATTTTTCCTGAATCGATCTTTCCTTGTTACACCTAGCATAGTACATAAACATGTAATTTCTGTTGTGTCTTTTTTTATTTTTGTCGGGGGCTTCGTTTGCGCAGTCGATAAGAGGCTCGCTTTCAAATCCAGCTGTGACTCGCTGCAGCCCATAGTCGGTGTTCGAAACCAGGCGGTTCCCTGGGTTCACCCAGCCTCTAGGAAATGGGTACCAGAGTTGACACTCTGGGGTAAACGGAGGAACGTCGCTGCAGCTACAGATTTACATGCGGACAGCGACACAGGCGGACAATTTTATCAGCTGTCCGTACTGGAGGCAGAGCACTTATGGTATATAACCGTGTGCAATGACGCTGGTTCACATCTCCCGACTTTACCTTTTTTTTTCTCAAGACAGTGTCCATGGTTGACATTGATAGCATAGTGTTGGTAAGAATATTGTGTTAAATGTGTAATTTGGTTTTTTTTTTTTTTTTTTTTTTTTTTTATTTATCATTTTTCCTAAATTTCATTACTTTAAAACTTATTACTTTCTGATATATATTATTTTGCCACAGAAGGGAGTATCAACTGATTCATTAAGCGCAAAATACTGCTTATGCTACTGTTCATGCCAACCTACCTGAAGAATGAAAATTCCAAATCAGTTTGTACCTCAACTATTGTATCTGTCTGAATGCAAACTCTAATCAACAACACAGCTTCTTCTGCAGCTTTTTGTCACTTAAGAACAGTTATAACACAAGTAATAGTAATGAATAAAGATCCACTGCGATCAGAAATGTTATACAACTGGGGAATGAGAATTCTGCCAAGCTCTTGCAGGGCTGAGCAGGTATGAACCTTTTTTACACAAAGCATGATAACCAGGAACTTAGGGGTTGAGCAGGTACAAACCTTTTTACACAAAGCAAGATAACCAGGAACTTAGGGGTTGAGCAGGTACAAACCTTTTTACACAAAGCATGATAACCAGGAACTTAGGGGTTGAGCAGGTACAAACCTTTTTACACAAAGCATGATAACCAGGAACTTATTTTAGGGCTGTTTACGGTTTTAAGTTCAGTAGTTTGCCAGTGCTTTCTGAACGTTCAGCTTTCTATACCACTGTTACAACTAAATGCAAGACAGTCTACAAGTAGATCACCTATATCTGGGATTGAACCTGGCACCCCAGAATTACAAAGCAGATTTGCAACACCTAAGCCACAGATGCTGCATGTGGTTTGGTAGCATACCATATTTTTTTGTTTTAAGCAAATTATGTAGTAACCTCTGGCCATATACCTTCTGTAACTGCACAAACAGAAGGATACAGTGATGCAATCTTTCCTGCGACATTTTACAGCATAGTAAAAAAAGATAAAGTAAATAAAAAAGTTCCAACGAAACTAAAAAGGAAGTCTACCCTGAAAAACAATTGCATGAAGGAGCTGGGCATGTCAATCAATGTCAATCACATCCCAGAAACTCTATTCAACCATATAGTGCTGACCTGAGAAGGAGAACTCACCTGGGAACCAAGAAATAGTTCTTATAAGAAATTACTGTAATCCAGATAAGAGTTCAAGCAAGAAAAATTGCAGGGGATAAAAAAAAACTGTTCTTCACAACAGAAATTCACCACATCCCAGTTTGCCTGAAGCAGTCTTCACTGTAAAAGTTACATGGGGCAGTCTAGTTAGAATTGGAAAGACAGAAGAGAAAGACAGGAGTTCCAAATATTGGCCGACAATCTGATGCTTGTGGGAACACACGACAGACAGAATTCTCCCAAATATGACGGCAATAGCGCGCGGATGGAGCCCTCATCGGTGGCGAATTGTCCGTTTGAGTAGCATCCACAGTCCTTCGATTGTTTGGGTGTGTATGTGACTGTGCGCGATTATTTGGAACTCTTGCGTCAAAATTGTCACATCTAACCCTAACCCTACCCCTAACCCTACCGCTACCCCTAACCCTACCCCTAACCACGCAAATTTATCGGCGGTCATTAAATCATACAGATCTGCAGGAGTCACATCCGTGGCAACTAATACCACTGTTATATAAGGATAAATTTACTTTTAAAAACTCCTAGATTTCCCTGAAGCGTCAAATAAACAGCCAGATCTGGGGGAAACACCCAAGCATTGGCAGCCCTGTTGTAACTGCCTTTTTTGATTCGTGACTTTTCCGCTCCGTGTTTGCAATGCAGCCAAGGAAGAGAACTCCCACTAAGCAAACGGCTGCTTTCCAGCTAACGGCCTAAGTTGACAGGAGAGCCGAATATTTTTACAATGTCTTCCTCTGTCACTTTTCCCACAGATCTTTCAGTGGTCACAGCATGTTCCAGTTTACTTCTTCTCATAATATGCCCCCAAAAAATTATGATTCTCTGATGTTTTTGTTAGTTGCGATCCTTTACAGGACATTGCAGAACCAACCCCATCAGCCCCTGACTGTTGTGTGGTTTCACTAGGCAAATTTACATCTAGTAGTTTGCCATCTTTCTTATGTGTGTGTGTGATAAGATGTCTTTCAAGCCTTCGCCTCTTTCAAAACATCTGTGTTGCTATTTTTAGCTGTCCAAGCAATTCTGACAATTTTTCTGTAAAGGTAGTAAAACCACATCTCTTAGGCCTGAAGTTTCAACAAACTGTTTAGCCTGTTGTTTATGTATTGTCCATGCATCCTCATTTTCTTGGTGACAGCAAGTTATAGAAAACCACGACAGACTTGCTTCTTAGGAAGGGATCTGACAATAATAAGGATGATGATGAACATGATAGGGTGTGTACTTTCAGTAAGTATTATTAGACTAAACTGCGAACAGTATCAATCATCTGCGGGGGCATATCATCATGTCTCTGAGACTTCTGTGAGGAGGACTAAGAGTAAAATTGAAATGAAATGCGAATGTAAGCTTTATTATGATCAGCGTGAAATAAGTAAACAACACATGCTTACCTGGGTATTGTAATACATTTTGTGCAGGGATCTTGTGTCGAAAGCGCCTTGGTCAGTTCGTCAAGACTGCCTGTTTTCTTCAGTTTTTTCACCAAACTCTTCACTGCTTTCTCTGCCCACTTATCGTCTTTCTCGTGTTCTCCTTTTTTCCAAGCAAGCAGTCTTTTAACAACTGGTGGCGTGAATGGAGAAAGAGGTGAGGACATCATATTGCACAAAGCGTCTGTTTTTGATCAATGGTGGTAAAGTTCCATATGAAATAACCTGATAATTATAACAAACACGGAGTTTTTACATCAACACTCCATCTTTAATGTTGACGTCTGCCATATTGGACTGACCTCATCACTCATGTCGCCTTGCTGAAGAAATAAATAGTTCATACTTGTAGAATTAATTTTTCAACTAAAAACGTTCGTTCCTAAATAATATCTTACAATTGACTTGTTTTAATTAGGTTTGTCAAAATATAAATGTTTTTGTCGAATTTATCAGTTTCTTTAACAATGAAACGTTCTTGTAATTAACGTACTCTTTTACAGTTATAAAATGTCAGATAGCGGCAATCCATCTTTACGTTCAATACAGATATTACTGTAGGATTTAGTCTGCTGGGATTTCTGTTTTCTCTTCATCTATCATCTTTTTATCTGAATGAAATTCTACCAGTTTTATATTAGTGTGTAAAGTTTTCATAACAAGAGGCAGACAGCGATACAAAGAGCGAGAATAACATCAAGAAATGGATTTAAGTCTGAGAGACTGAAAAAAAATGTATTGGAGATCTATTGCAGCTCGCGCGCTCTCCTCTCTCTCTCTCTCTCTCTCTCTCTCTATATATATATATATATATTATATATATATATATATATATATATATATATATATATATATATATATATATATATATATATATGTTGTGTGTGTGCGTATGTTTGAATGTGTTTGTGTGTGTATATTTGAGTGTGTATGTGTCTGTCTGTTAGAGTGCGTGCATGTGTGCGTACGCGTGGAGATGGCGTAGCAGTAGGCACAGAGATGCCAAAGCTTTAAACCACACAAGTATTTGAAACAATAAAAACAGCATTGGTATCTCCTAGTTTAGACTTCTTCTGTCACTTTTCTTCTTCCTCCTCCTTATTTGCTTGTTTTGTGACTGCTTCGGGTGTCGAGAAAGGCATAAAGCTCTGGCTGTTAACCCCCCCCCCCCCCTTTCCCAATTGACCAGAGGCACCTAATACTGCCATTTCCTGCAGCATTTCTTTTTCTGTCTGCACTTTTTTAATGGCGTTTGGCACCCTGTGCCATATTTTACAGCTGGGCTGCTATAGCTGCTCCGTTCGAAATTAGCAAATCTCTAATTAGTCGCCACTTACGACATGCTTGATCAGGGGCAGTGGGAACCCACATGTGTACATTCAAAATCAGAATACTCTCCCATCGGCGTACTAGGTCAGTCGCAGACTAAGGACCACTCTAGATTTTGCAATCTGTAGGGTTAATTTTAGATGATGCTAAACTCGGCTCAACCTTAAAGCATTTATATATGGGACGCTCTGCCCATATGCCCGATGCGCCGAAAGGCGTGAAAATGGAACTTTACTTTTTTTACTACCAGAACATAGATACTAAGTAACTTGTAGTCCAGTTATGTGGGTCAGTTGCGTGTGAGACGGATTAAGGATTGATATACTGAATGCTCTACGAGATGCGAGACGTTTGCGTGAACCAATTGAGAACTGTGAATCTGCAACCATGGTCAGTCAGACTGCCCGGCTCTCTAGCGAAGTTGGTTAAACCTGACTTTCGTGGCGGCCGGGTGACGAACTCCTTGTGGTCCGGGTTCACTCCCGGGGGTAGGCAGAAAAGCCACATTTCTCCCAGATTAACGGTACCTATAATGGAATCAATGCCGAAGGGTTGCGATATCCATAGTACCGAGCCAAAGGGTTTACAACTCATGGTTTCTGGATACGTAAAACAAAAAACGGGGTGTCGCCAAACAAGAACTTTACGCGGGTAGCTAAGAAGAAGAACAAACCATCACAGAACTAAAGAGGGGATCCGAGCACTTATGGACTGAGTGGTTCGACGTGCAATGAGGATAATCTGTCGACTAACTAACTAGCACATACCTAGACAAGTTTCTCCACGCAGACCCCTAATTATGTTATCAAAATCCACGTCACTTTACACTGGGCATTTCCATGCTCTCAGTTAAAACTATGTTGGCAGCCAAATAGTAAACCGTTTTGAAAAAGACTCAGACATTAAAAGGAAATAAAGGGGGAAAGGTAAGGGAGAGGGGTTCATTGTACAAAAAATGGATAACGGGAACTTTTTATAACTGGACAACGTTTTGTCAAGATACATAAAAAGGACACCAAAGGGCAAATACGAGTCCAAGACGAAATTTGATGAGAGAGGCTGGATTTTTGTTGCTTGTTTGCTTTCACCAGCTGTAAGCCCTGTTCGTCCATTTCTGGTCTTTGCCTTTGTTCCAAGACTTGAGATTTGCATGTGCATCTGTTTTACAGTTCTTGCTTATTGGTATGCAGACTGTTGGTTCCCTGCCTTTTCGGCAGATGCACTTCGACTTTGAAGGAAGCTCCCATTTAGTCGACTCTTACGACATGCTTCTTGAGGAGGCAGTGGGTCTATTGTTGCGTTCCCCCACAATAGGACCACGGAACCCACACGGAAAGGTGCTGGATCAGTTCCCCGTATGATACTGAAGAGATTGCACAGGGTAGAAGAGATACAATCAGGAACAAAATCATAAGAGAAACAGCAAAGAAAAATTCTAAAATACATACAAAGCCAGCAAATCAAATGGTTTTCCCACTTAGAGAAAATGCCTTGTGACGTCATACCATCTAAGGCATACACCGAAAGAGAAGAAAGACGCGGAGCACAATGTAGAAGACCAAGTCGAAGATGGAAAGAGAACAATAGAAAATCTCGGTGCTTTTTTAATATACTACCCCAAACAGGGAAAATCCACAGGTCACGGGACAGTCTAATATTTCAGGGGGTGGTAGATAGGCTGTCTGCAGTCGTGGGACCTAGGCTACACTCTCTCATGGGACATAGGTGGATTGTGGTTAGGACCAGTTCTACCTATCTTGGGGTTGTTAAATGCACCATAAAGCAGGGAAACCCAGTCTTTCTCCCCTGGAAAATGTTGGACTGTCCTGTGACGTCATCTGGGGGTAGGGTATTTCGAAAGTGCCCAAATAACTACAACAGCACGATGTGTTTATGGTTGAGGGGACCAGAAGAGCATGAAACAGAACATCCTATCTCCCTCGACAACCGACGCGGTAAAAGAGGAAGTGAAGAAGAAGCACAGGATATATAGGAATTTGGGAATAGACTATGAGCCCGCTGTGACATCTAAACGTCACAACAAGCATGTCATAGGAGGCAACTAATTAGGTGAGGTGTTTTTCCCCTCAAAATATTAATAAAGCACCAAAAGATTAGAAAAGCATCCTCTCTCAAAAGCGGAGATATTGTGGACATTTCAAGTGCCATGATGGTGTGTGTGGGGGAGAACGGCGATGGAGGGTGCAGGGGAAGCACATACAGCTGGAGAGCTGGCTAGAGAAGGAGAGACTTTGAGGCGTGGAGAAAGCGATGTTTTGTAACAGACTTATTGATTGACTGATTGTTACTTTGAGTTGAGGAGCTGCTGCCGACCGGTTAGAACATCGGACAGTCAACTGAGGAACCTAGGTTCGATTCCTCGGTAACAGACTACAAAAACAATCTTAACCTGCAGTCCATGGTGACAGCACTAACCATGCGACCACTATTCCTCATGCTAAAAAATACCGCCTCTACAGTAATAGCAGTTGTTATTTTAAAGCAATTAATATTAGGATCTTAAGAGCTTAAATAATAGCACAAAGAGACAGGAGGAGTTAAAGTATCAATTAGGCCAAGTTTGCGGTGTGGGTGGGGGGAGAGCAGGTATGCCAACATCAAAGATCAAATGGAGTTTAGGCATGAATACTGCTTCAGTTGGAAAACAAAAACCCACAGCGAGCTGCTTTGTACTGAACGAGTTAAATAGCGAAAGTTAATATTTTGTTTGTTTTAAAAACACAAACGAACTAGGCAACGTAAATTATTCATTAAGGAGACCTAAAACGTTCTACAGTATGAGGCAGCCAGCCTTGTCTCAACTATCCTTAGGGCCTCATGTATATGTTTCAATGTTCCTATTTTGTTTCCTTTTATGGACTGTTAATCCACGACCATTTTGTACCGTTCTTTCTATCTAGCTATCTGTCCATGTATATATAATCTGTTTGCCTATCTATCCATGATCCTTCTATCTACCTATCTGTCCGTGTATCTACCTGTCTGTTTATCTGCGTATCTACCTGTCTATCCATTCATCGATCGATCTATCTGTCTGTCTATCTACCTATCTATGCATGATGATAACTATGACTTTATAGTTCTTGGAAACGTAGATATTTTCAGTATATGCCTGTGTCTAAAACCTCCTACCCATATTAAGTTGTCTCTCTCTCTCTCTCTGACTGGGTAAGTAGAAGGTTCGGAAAATATCAGCACTGAGGAGAAAACACAAGCGGACTTTAATCAGGTTACAACTGGTATTATTCATGTGTTGACTCTTCGTTGGCTACTGAAGAAGGGGACGGAGCACATGTGGGAATGTCTAGAGTGCAGTGATGTCAATTCTTGATTCACTCAATCTCTCTGACTATGCCTGTCTAGTTCTCTCAGTTAACCTCTTTACCCATTTCTCTATCACTATGTGTGTTACTCTCTCCCTGAATCCAACACAACCAATCAGCCCAGATACATAAACATTTTATTTGTCTCTTTCTGACTATCCTTCTGTCTGATAACTAGCTGTCTCTCTCTGTTGACCTTTCCAACAATTTCTCTGTCACTGTGTGTGTGTGTGTGTGTGTCACTCTCTCCATGAATCCAACCAGCCAAGATACATTTTATTTGTCTCTCTCTATCCCTCTGTCTGTCTAGCTATCTCTCTCTGTTGACCTCTCCACCTATTTCTCTGTCACTGTGTATGTGTCTCTCTCCCCCTGAATCCAACACAACCAACCAGCCCAGATACATTTTATTTGTCTTTCTCTGTCTATCCCTCTGTCTGTCTAGCTTTCTCTCTCTATTGACCTCTCCGCCTATTTCTCTATTACTGTGTGTG